GTGTGTGTGTGTGTGTGTGTGTGTGTGTGTGTGTGTGTGTGTGTGTGAAAGAGAAACAGAAAAGAGTAAAATGACCTCGTCACCAGTGGCCTTATTTTCAGTGTCCCCTCTGTCCCAGAGACTTAGCTATTGTGCCAGTTTAATTTATTGACTCCGCTTATGTGTGTGTGTGTGTGTATGTGTTATAATATATTTAGCCTTGACTCCAGGGTCTTGCTAAGGGAGCCATCAACACCGGCTCTGCTCTCTCGTCATTTAACACAAGCTGACCTCCTGTGCCACCTCGGCACTACACACACACACACACACACACACACACACACACACACACACACACAGCCAAACATACTAAACACTGTCAAAAATGCACATGCAGGCGCCAGTTCATAGAACTGCTAAGTCACCACACACTGTTTTTAACCAAATAAAAATAGGGGAAGTGGGTGGGTGGGTAGGTAGACAGACGGACGGACGGATTGACGGATTGATGGATGGATGGATGGATAGATAGATAGATATTGCCTTCCCACTCCTTCTTTTTCCACCATCCTTATCACTTTCTCTCTCTTCACAGTATGTCAGACACTTCACACTGTCCCAGCCTCATTTAGCAAAAGGCCAGTAAGCTGGTCACCTTTCCCTGTTTCTTTCTGTTTCTCTGTTCAATTACAGTAAGCTTTAGTGGCAGGACTATGCAGCCCCGGTTCCTAAACATGATGTTTAATAGCTGCAAGACGTATTTTACATCTGCAAATGAATTGTATATTTGTAATAATTGACCTGCATTTTGGTGACATAAATCACACCACACACATTTAAGAAAAATGGGCGTTGTGTCTGTGGGCTGTTTACTCTTGTTCCCGCTATTCTTTGTCACACGTTTTTTTCCTACCATCGTTCACAGTTCCCATCCTTACGTCTCTCATCCCGCTATCTCGTTAGTGTAATAAACAATTAACTCCTGCTCTTGGTGGCTTACATTTTTTTATTTATTTCTTCATTAATTCATTTCCTGTTGAAAGCGCACTCCACTTTGATTGGCAGCTCACAGTAATTGCATCTCAGACTATGAGGCTCTCTCACACACACACACACACACACACACACACACCCACACACACATACACACACATTCAAGCTGTGTTGCTGTGCATGCATGCAAGGTCATGCATCTTTGTGTACACTTTTGAATGCAAACTTAACACACATTGGGAAATGCTTGCTGACACATTATGGGAAAAAACATCTATTACAGCACACACACACACACACACACACGCATACACGAAGGGATGAGTGTGATGATTTTAATTAGAATTGGCCTATCAGCCTCCAACTCAAAGAGGGGGAGAAGCCAGATTACTGCTGCCCTCCATAATAGCCTTCCAACACTTTATCTGAGATTATGGTGGAGGGACAAAACTTCAAGGTCAATAGCGCTATTAAGGAGAAGAGATGTGCGTGAGAGAGTGTTAGAATACCACCTGGAAAGTCAGCTGTGATTTTGGTACAAATGAAGGAGCATTGATCTGGCATCCTGTGATATTTATTCTTGTTCAAAATGACCGGTCACATATGAAAATGTGTTGCTGGAATTTCTACATATTCACAGAAAAATCATCATTATTGAAAACCAACACAGTTATCTGGTTTGTCCATACCCGTTGTAGTAAGTCGACTTTAACGCTTTGTAAATTTCTGAACAGCCGTCCTGGAGTCACATGAGCTGTATTAACAACTCCCCAATCAGCTAAAGTTGTCTCTGTACATGACTGATTACAGGCTGATTACAGCCGGATTCAGCATCACAACTGATTTTCAAGAGATTGGACGGAATCCATGTCGCACACACACACACAGACACACACGCACACACAGACACTCACAAACTGAAACACACACCCTCAGGCAGAAAATGTAAGAGCCTTTTTCCTTATAATATCCAGACTGATCCCCATGAGTACATACAGCTCAGGGTTTATTCTTATCCTCAGCAATCGATAATTCATCCCTAATAGTATTTTACAAGCATAATTGAGTGAGCTGTATTGAACTTTTCAGCCTATGTGCTGAGATGAAATTCCAGTGAATATAATATACTATGATTTATGACGATGAACAATATATTCCTTACATTTTTGCTGGCTGTTTTTAAAGTTATGCTATACAGTTTTATATGTTTCTGTTTGTACCATGTAAAGTGCCTTTGGGTACCTTTCAAAGCGCTATACAAATAAAATGTATTATTTTTATTATTATATTTCTTATGTACTTTTTCTCTTCCGCAACCACACCTGTAAATGACCAGCCCATAATAGACTAATAGCCCTCTTAATAAAGCCTTTTTGCCGCTAACTCCATTACAGTAATTATTCTGCTTTCAGAATGATTACAGTACGTGACGTGCATGTGTGTGGTTGGGTATTAGGACATGCTATAAACAGAATGTTTACCTACAGTATATGTGGGAGGTGGGAGGGTAGGTGGGTGTGTGTTCATTCTGTTTGTGTTTGTGTGTGTTTTGTGTATTGTGAGCCCCACGGAGGCTTTCCCTGTGTAGCTGTAAAAGGCTCGCTGGGAGAAAAAAAAACGTTGAGTCTTTGATGCTAATATGAAGTGTCATATCTTCCCTCACAGTGGGTGCGTATTTGTTGTGTGTGCATGCATATGTGTGTGTGTGTGTGTGTATACAGTATGTGTGCCCTGAGAACTTATGCAATTACAGTTTCTTTTTGCATTACCACGCTGACCAAAATGCTGATGGACGTACAGCCCTAAGCTGACACAAGCAATCACTCCTCTGCCGTGTGTGTTCATGTGCTGTGTGTGTTCATGTGCGTGTTCATGTGCGTGTGCGATACATGTACACTAACTCTTGGCTTAATGTTTTGTGACTGAGAGTGCTGTGTTACGCGTACACACACACACACACACACACACACACTGTCTATGAATAGTCAGTTCACACAGCGGCACTGGGGCTCAGAAGGCCAGTTACTGTAAAAGGATTTTCATAAGTTGAGTTCTGAAGGCAGAGCTGATCTGTACAGCAGGTCCTCTTCTAACTCTTCCAGCCTGAGAGCCGAGAGAGAGAGAGCGAGAGAGAGATATATAGTCTCTCACCCTGAGACATTAACTGGCTCATTAAGTGTTCTTTCTTCAAAACCGCTGGAATTAAAGTTCCCTCCTCCATTTACAGCCTACTATTATAAGTAATGGCTGTATTACTTCTAAAGGAATCACTACATAAACTGAAAATGTTATCGCAGCAGTGTGGCCACCAATGCTGTTGCTAATACTATTTATGTATTTCTACTAGTCCTACTGCAATATCACAACTGTTATCACACATTTTACCACACAGTACTCACTGCTGTACAGTCTTTACATCAGAGAGAAGGGATTGTAGGATTAGGAATATTACTTTTTCCACATTTGTCAACAGTATCACATGGTCTTCATCAAAAAAGTGTCCAAATATCCCTGGAAATGGAAGTTTGACCAAAAAAAAGAAAAAAAAACATCCACTTTTTAGCTTTTGACAGCCGCAAAAAGCAGGCTAGTGAGAGGGGTTTTGGCAAAAAAGGAAGAAAAAAACAAACATGTACACTAATAAACAATCTAGAGGTCATAATTTCTCAACCTTTTACTTCCGGTCAAGAGAGTTGATATAAATCTATCTGCTGTTCATCTTGAAAACATACAAGCCTGCAATTCAAAGAACAGAGAACGGATACAAAGGTGGAGGATGCAATACAATATTGAGTTAACACTCGACGGATCATGCTGTGCAGCCACAGCTGGTGTACATTGTTTTCTTGGTGCCTCTATGTCGTTACCATGACACTGTCAGCATGGGCTAATATTGTTTGCAGTGGAAATGTGCCTTTCCTAGAGAGGGGCACGGTCCAAATCTGCCTCTTCGCCGTTCCACTTCCCTTTCTCTTCCCCCTGCTCATTCTCTCTTCCGACTTATCCATTTAACTTAATTTGATGTACAGGCTTATTCTATTGTACTTAATTCACCTATCACTCTCCCTGTCTCTCTCTCTCCCCCTCTCTCTCTCTCTCTCTCCCTCTCTCTC